ATAATAATAATAATAATAATGATAAAGCTTACACGGTGCATCCCTGTGAGAGCAGGCACGTGCGATCGTTGATGGTCCCGTTCACGTAATAGTCCCACGCGGGCGGCTCCCCGTCCTCCCCGTCACTAATGCTCATCGTGCGATCGCGATGCACAAGGTCCTCAATGTCCTCCAGGAGCTTCGACGACGCCAGCTTGCTCTTACCTGCGCGACGAAAAACAAGTGGCTGTGAAACAAGTGGCTGTGAAATGCTCGGCGCTCTGCGACGGCGACCAAGCATCGATCGACAATAGGCTGAGCAAAGTCATCACGCAGACGCGCAGACGAAGAAACGTCAAGCGTCACGAGTCACAATAACTACTGACACCAAGGAGTCTTGATAGTGGAGGATCGCACACAGACAGCTGCCCGGTTGCTACAGCTGCACCTATCAGCACCAGACGGAAAATTAGTAGTGGTAATAGCAACCGGTATCGATCAGTATGATGTTTGATATAGGTGCTACCAGAAGGTTCATAGTAGTAAGACACATGTTGAAATAAGGCCTTTTCTGGAGGCCAAAATAATACTTTTTACGCGATTTCTGATAGATCACCGACTATTAAAGTACACTAATAATAACATTTATATACACATTTGCACAGCAGATTTAATTATTTCGTATTATATATACAACAATTCTTACTCGACAAGAGTTTATAAAACAATGTTGAAAAATGGTCCTTTGGCAAAAAATAAGTACTATTAAGTACTTTTCTACGATTTCACCAAAAATAAGTACTAATAAGGGCCCTTATTTTATTTTTGGCAAAATAAGTACTTATAAGACTTTGGAAGACCCACTACGAACCCTGTACCACCCAGGGGACCGTGCGAATCAAGATATTACGATATGTATTGATCGGTAGACACGTTCACACAGTTTGGTGTAACGTTTGACATAGGTGCTACCCACCAGGGGACCGGGCGCAGAGTCAATAAAGTTTCAACTAATCAATTAACGAAATCACGTTAACAATGCTATCACACGTTATCGGTCAAATTATCGGTTGTTTAATTAATATAGCTGTTTAATTATAACGGTTTCGATTAGTTATATAACAGATTGGCGGGGACTTACCTTGCTGGTTCCTCGGCAGCATGAGATCCCTCTCACCGCTGACCTCCTCCCCCTCTCCATTCACCGACCGCACCGAGCTGAGCGAGCTGAGACGCTGTCTCGCCCGCCTCTTCTCCTTCGCGATCCTCTCCCCCTCCTCCTCCTCCTCGTCCCCGTCCTCCTCCCGCGCGCGCTGGTTGATCGCGCGGTAGGGTGCGGAGTGCTGGTGGTGCGAGACGTGACGCTGCGTGACGACCAGCGACGTCACCGTGACGACGATGCACGTGCCGAGGACGACGGCGGAGACGACGACCTGCGAGATTCACGGAGGATGAACCTGACGCGACCCCGACGAACGTCAAATCATTCCCGACCCCCCCTCGCCACACGTCTGCAAATTATCTCGAGGTCCGGCGACTGACAGAACACTGGCTCTTCGAGATGCTATCGTCAATATTCGAGACAGTATCTTCATTATTCAGTGAGCCCGAGAGCCAAGTGGTCCACATGTGCCGCCTGATGCACATGTATATACAACACATTCCAAAAGCGTGGTAGACAAAGTTAAGCCAATACGGTCATCGAAAAATGCTCTCGTCTGATAAATTCGAATGGATGCTAGGATGCTATGGCAGGCAGTTACCTGGTTTGTTCCGTATTGGAAATTGGGATCCTCCTCATGCTCGTTGTGGGACTTGCTGACAATCAACACCACCGAAGTCATCAGGACAGGGAACCTGCGTAAAACGAAGAAACCGCTTGTTTTATGCTAAATTTGACATTACAGCTGCAGTATCAGGGGCGTGTATAGCCATATAGGATTTGTACCAGGGGAGAGGGTCTAAGCGTAACCCAACTTGCGAGCACGCGAAGGGGGGGTCTGGGGGAAATTCAAAATTTTTGAAGTTAGACCCCCCTAGATGCGTTTTCTGTGCAAGCAGGGGGGGTCCGGACCCCCTGGACCCCCCCCCCTGTACACGCCCCTGAGTATCGTGATATCGTGCGATCAGCCTGCGTGAGCACTGCCGTAAAAATTCCACGTTAGGGTTCATGCGCCTAAGGTAACTCTCGCTCGCTCTTTCTCATGCTCGCTCACTCGTTCTCTCTCCTCTCTCCCTCCCTCTCGCTCTCTATCCTTCGCTCTCCCCCTCCATCCCTCCTCTCCACATTCTTCCTCCCTCCCCCCTCCCTCCCTCGCTCCACCACCCCCTCTCTCACATACATACCCGAATGAGAGCAGGTAGAGCCAGTGCTTGTGTCGGAGCAGGAAGCAGAGGCTGCGGCAGCGCAGCATGCATATACCGAGCCCTCCCCCCCTCCTTCCTTCTCACTCCCTCCCTCCTTCCTT